TATTTATAAGTGTGACAGCAATATAAATCAATATTTGAAATTTTATATCTTCATACAATGCGTTAAAATTATTAAAAAGTATTGTTAATATTAAAACATTCCATTTAGCAAAAAGTAAGTGAAAGAATAATGAAATAAAACATTATATGACAAAATATTAGCTTATGGAACAGAATCAGTCCACTATACACACATTATAAAATAAGGATTTCGTGCGAGAAAAAAGTGCTCGCAGCAGTTTCTGTCATAAATATCTTTCAACTCTAAAATTAAGCTTATTAACGTAATGTACTTTAATCAGCTTTAGTTATGCCGTCCAAAAATATAATGTGGTTCGTATGTGTACTTTATCTCATAAAAGATTCTCGCTGGAATATATAGCGTCTCCTTTTTTTTATATATTTGAAAAAAAAAAAAAACTCTAGAAGATATCCACAAATATTTTATATTCCTAGAAGCGAATAAACGCGTCGACCCCGATACAAAATTTCAGGCGTTACGATTGAGATCGTTGCGGGTCAAATGAGAGAAAAAGGTAAATGGAAAGAAGCGTCGCGATATCGGGTCAAGCATCATCATAAATAAATAAACTGCATGCATAATAAATAAAGAAATTCACTCACCAGCCGTCACACCTGTGCTACCGCCCGGCCAGATCCGCCAGCTGTTCCATCGACGCCAACTCCTCGGCGATTTCTGACACCGATTCAGCTCCTCCATTCAGATAATTCACACACGACACGAATACCAGAAGAGAAGACAACGTGACTAATTACGACCGCGCAACAATCTTTAAAGTGTGTTAAGCGTCTTTTAAGTTTTATTTATTATCGTCTATTGTCTATTGTTTGTGTTATCAAATTTTACAGCGTAATGCTATAAACGTTTGACGTGTTGCTCGACATGCTGTCTCGCGTTTACGCGCGCCTTTTATTTCTAATAAGATTAATATACGACAATAGAATACAAACGGGATACTGTAATGTGGCGGGAGATGGTAGCGAGAAATGGATAAACGACGATATCACGGGATGAAAACGCTGTCTGTACAATATATTCAATCGCGCGCTTGAAATAAACAAAACTATAACTAATCATTATCGTGTATAATTTGCTGTGCAATATGCTGCAATAATTATCCGGTAAATTGTTCACCAATTCTCTGTTTAATATACTGCGTGTGAAATAAAATAAAACATATATCAATGAGCTTTTATTCGTGAATATTTTCTACGATTTTATAACATTCGCATATGCAAATTAGTTTGTAAAATGCAAAATATAAATATCGCGGGCATAATTTAATTTAATACATTTTTTATATCTTTCTTTTGAAATGTGATGATTTCTGTGAAAATTCCTACGCAATTTTATAATATCCGCATACTTATATTCGCTCAGAAAACGTTTCTGAGAAAATGGATTTAAAAAATCAAGATACAACGGATATTTGCAGTTTCGATAAAATCACAAACTCTCATTAAATTCAGATAAATTCATTCGATAGGATAAACATATGTTCGAAACGGACACGATTAGAAGATTAAATAAAGCGCGTTTATTTACGCTCACGTCAGTTATAGCGATATCCCCGCTTTGCAGCACGATCAGTGACACGATGCACTCGGGATAAGTAAATAACGCGAAATATATGCCAGGAACGTTTCGACGGATAATGATTTTAGCGCACACGTTTGTGATCGCGAAAACACGATTAAATCGCCGATCGCGCATACCAATTATTATAAATCTAACGATCAATGTTCATCCGACACCGTAATCACTGGCGATGACAATTATCGGCGCACATTGGCTTTTCGACGATGGAGAAAACAACGAAGAATGAAGAGCTCGCCGATTTCGATGCGCAAAGCGCGCGAAACTGAAAGATGACTTGCCGCGCGTTCGCGCATTGTACAATACTTCACGACTTCGATTCAGGTAATCGGATATTGATGTGGCAAACAGCTTTTGTACAATTATTTTTCGTTATATCGATATCAATAATTATATCAGATTATTATCTCGCTATGTGATTATTCAAATGTTTTATAAGGGTGATTAAACGATTGGTGCGGTGAACAACTAGATAACTCGAAATACACCGTAACCTATTCAAAACATATCGACATAATCGAAACGCAAACGATTTGGAAAATGAAGAAAATACTTATTGCGACAGTACCTCAGTTATCCGCCACTTTACTGGACACTTTCGCGATTAATTCGACATGCACGAATCACTTTTGATGAATAAAAATTGCAGAAAAAAAGGCAGAGCAATATCACTGCGCGACTACGAAGCAACGCGCGACACATCGAGAAAGAGAGAGCTGAAGATGGCGCGGTTTCGCGCGGCGAGACCGGTCATGCGCGTTGCACTTCGATATTCGAGCGATCGAATATCGAAAATCGAATCGTATGTGTGAACCGCAAACATCATATATATACGACTACTTACACAATTATATATACCAGATTATTAAATCCACATTATATTATTATATCCCAATGCAATTATATCACACAATAAAAATAACAATTATTATTATATTAAATTAGTATCTCGCGATAAGATTATTTCATTGCTGCGTGATCCACGATTAGACAAGTGCGATAGAAGTTGGAAGAAACAATATATAGGTAACTCGTGTGATACACTGTAGCTTTTTCAAACCACATGAATATAATGAAAATGGAGGAAATAGTAATTGCGACGATACGGTTGTCCGTCACTTTAACTCGACACTTCCGCGACTGATTTGGCACGCACGGATCACTTCTAGCGACAAAATGCGACATCGCCGCGCGACGATCAAGTGGCGCGAGGTGCGAGGCACGAGGCGCGGACATGTCGAGATCGAGAGAGAGAAAAAGACAAAGATGGCGGTCTCGCGCGACAACATGCGCGCTGAACTTCACGGCGCGGTATAATATAAATAAAACGTCCGCCGCACTCTCGAGCCTCATAAATATCGAAAGAACTAAGTATATCGCTACATAAGATGTAAGATGGCCTCGACGAAGACTGATGACGAGCACTGCCGTCCTCCAACGCGATCCCATACGTGGGTGTCGGTGCGGCGGGTATAAAGCGTACGATTCGGTGATAAACTACTTTACTACTTCGCTATTCGTTTCTTCGAGAATCGCTTTGACATTTAAGAAAAAGAGATTAATCGTGGGATTGCTGAAAAGCACGCTTTCGAAATCCGCCTTTCTTTCCTATTCCGCCACGAGCGGGCGAATTCTTTTCTTTCCAACGGCAGCCAAGTCCATTTGTCGAAATTACGTCTGTTCGACCAAGCGCGAGGAAGAAAAGTAGGCTATCGACGACGGGTTTCATAAAATTTCATCCAAGTTTCTTATTCTATGCGAATTGTAAGAGCGAGAGAAAAAGAGAGAGAGAGAGAGAGAGAGAGAGAGAGGGAAGAGGCTCGTGTCGCATTAGCTAACGCTCCGTCGACTTTAAATTTTCTAATAAAGGAACGAGAGCTCTCTTTTATCGCGCCTCCCCGTACATTACGCCAAAGAACGCTGAAACGCGATACGGGCGTGTATAGACGTGAGTAGACGTCAATAGCGATCTTGATCTAATCTTCGTGCGCTGTCGATCATCGGGAGCATCCACCTTCCTTTCATATAGCCGTAAAATGTGCACCGCTAAGAATTAAAATAATAATTACGTTTTGTTCGCCGTTTAAATTTGCGTGTTAATAGACGATGCAATTTCTTGTCGAAAGTAATTAGACGCGAAAATACATACATCTCGCTCGCGTGATATATTTTTCTTACACTCACTTAAGATTTCGACTACATGTGCCCTTTTAAAGCTACTCGTTCTCACGTAATTCGCTAATAGAGCAAATCCGTTCCTGGAATTGTCGCTGGTTTATGCAGCGAAGGATCTTGACGAAGAATGAACGTACGATGATGAAACTTATAAGGCTTTTCTTTCCATTTGCCATCGGCAAATCCGACGAGAAACTCGAGCCCTTTCTGTCTTAAACAGTTCCGCGTAATTAACGTTCTCTTTTGCGGCGAGATTAATCTCTCTTGCGCGAAAAACCACATAGTCGGAGAATACGGCTTCGCAACGATAATTTTCGCAAAAATGTTCCGTGAATATAAGCCAATCCCGCAAACGCGCGACGAACTAAAAGAAAAGTAGGCGGGAAGAAAAAGGAGCTCTTTTAACGCCGTTTTCAGAGTATCGTTTCAAAGGAATAAAAGAGAAAAATAGTCGCGGTCTCTTAAACTGTCAAAGAATCTACGGTACAACATTGAAAAGCACAATATTCGTTACTACCCCGTCAAACATAAATTTCTAATCAACGATAAAGCAATGAGACATTAATTTTATAAAATAAAATAAAACAGATTTTCTACAATACACAGAATTTGTATGTGTCCATGCGTGCATATATAGACTATTTTTACGGGATTTTCTATATTACATATATGTGATATATAGAAATACAAAAATTAATAATCCATTCCATCCCCTCTCTCTCTCTCTCTCTCTCTCTCTCTCTCTCTCTCTCTCTCTCTCTCTCTATCATTTCATTTTTAACATTTAATATTAACACTTTATTTTTAAATTCGAACACTCGTAACAAAGAAACAGATCGCTCTTCACATTTCTTTCATCACTAATTGAAACACGCATCCAAGGCTACGCAGCGTATTACATTCCACACGGATGTAAGAGATATACAAATATAATTTTATAAATATCTGTTGGAATGATTATTTACAAAGAAATGCAATTTGATCGACAAGCGCTCGTTAGATATAAAATATATCATTGTTCAATAAAATCAAAACATTAATGAATTGATTGATGATTGATAAAAATTGAGATTATTATTTATTATTCAAAATTGTTTATCCAAATAAAGTCGGCATCTCGGTCCATGCCCCCCCCTAAAAAAACCCTCCCCCCCCCCTCTCTCTCTCTCTCTCTCTCTCTCTCTCTCTCTCTCTCTCTCTCTCTCTATCATTGCGTTGAAAGAATTTAATATTTCAATCGCAATTTTGATTTTGTTTTTATACAAAATCGATAAAGTACACATACAATCTCTCTCATATATCGCTTTTTTATCTAATTATTAAACTATTAGGTAAACTTAAAAGTATTACAAGTCAATATGCAAACTGCATCTCTCTCGCAGTTTTTAAAATTTTATACAATGCCCTTTTTACCAAATTAATTTAAAATTTGGTATAATCAGAATTCACTCACCCACATAGTTGTTAAGAAGAAAGATAACGACAAATCCGACAAATACCGAAAAAAATTGTAAAATACCTTGGAAGAACCTCACTCACGGTAACATATAACAAAGTTCCGCCTGCCAGACCTTGCAAGATCGGCAGTACCACCTTTGACCAATCTGTATCTGCCTGCATGCACATTCGAAACAAACGATAAAATTAGATGTTATCCAAAAGTCTGTCTTTAAAAAGGTTAATCCAAATAAGAATTTGACGAGAAAATTAAAAAATCTTTTCTTACCTGAAATGTTAGCATGCCGATACCGATTCCAATCACAGATCCGATGGCGAATACGAAAATTGCAAATACTAATTTAGGCACAGATTTGCTGACTCCCGCCAATTCCAATCCCAAACAAAAGCCGACGACATACTTGTGTGATGCTACGGCTCCGGTCAACAACAATACCTAAAAAAATGTTGACGTATATCACTACATACAAAAATCAAGTTCAGACATATTTATCAAAGAATATGATAATAAAATTGAGAGTATTGTACGAGTTAGGGAATATTCTGCATTTCATTATACAATATTATTATATATATTTCTGTTTCAATTTATTTTGTACAAATATATAATGCATAGAAAAAATATATCAAAATCTTTTCCAACTTTTTTCCAGTAATTAAATTTTAAGCTTAAATAATTATTCGAATTTAATTGAAGAGAGAGTTTAACATTGAAATATTTCGCGTATTATCGCAATTATGCGCTTAAACGATTATTCACCATGCTATTATATTCACAGTGTGGATTCTAATTTATCCTTTTCTAGAGTTTGTTATTTTTAGATTGTATGCAGCATACTTCGGCGATTTGCGTTTGCAGCCCTATCGCAAGTCCTTCAAGAACGGCGTGTACAGTGAGGGCGAGGGCAAGACCGGCAAGACCGGTATTAGCATCGGTGCATTGCTCTCCGTGATTTCCATGACACAAAAATGTGGTCTCCTCGCTTGACGAAGGGCCGTCATGTGCGTTGCATCGTGTCGCACCATAGCCACTAAACGTCCATGTATTATTGGTGCTGTTGTTACCAAAGGAACTTTGTCGATAATTAAACGGTAATCTCACATCTCCCTCGGATACGTAAACTTTGCTGTCTTGTGTAGCGGCATTGTAACCGACACCATGGGAATGGTTCCGACAGTCCAAACTACTGAAATTAAAGAGACAAAATTCGATCAAAGAGAAGCAAAACCAGAATTATGCAAAGATATGCGCATTGAAAGCGGGGAAATTTCAGTTTACCGTTCAAACCTGCATTTAATCACGTCTTTCATCATCACGAATCATTCTAACTTTTACTCGGGAATATTATAGCATTTTACATATATATACACATTTTTTTAAATTAAAAGGATTATGAGAAGAGAATTGTATATTGCATATACATATAATTCCCGAGGATATATAAATTAAAAATACATAAATGAATTTAAATAAATAATTTAAACACGGATATAAAATATTACATTATTAAAACATTCGACCTCGATTCTCATTGCGGATAGCAAAAATACCCGAGTGTCGACGGCAATCTTATATACAAACTAGCATCATGGAAAGCTGATATCTAGTATCGACATCCAACAATGGCTCGAGCTCGATCATTTTCTATATCCGTGTGGACATTATTACTGGATAAGCTCATTTTTCACCTTAAAGGAAGTTCTTGAAGAATCAAGGATCGGTTGTTTGATAGCGCGATTGAATATGATTATTTTGTGCGAGAGATCGCTATCGTTTGTACTATTTTTGTACTAGAATTTATTTCTAAAAGTTTCGCCCGGTTGAACAAGGGAAAGTAACAAAAAATAACGTATCGTTGGCCATTATCTCTCTTATATCAAGTTCGATCCGTTCATTTATCTTTGTGTAAATCTCCCCTAGTGTGACGAAAAGGCAAGTTGGAAAAAAAACTTCTTCGCACAAATTTTTCAAAACGATCGCGTAATCTTTTCCAGAAATAAGTCGTTATTTGAAATTTGATAAAATCATTTGCGAGATTTGATTTAAAACACTAAAGAAAAGATAGAATAGAAGAGAGAGTTTAGATCGCACATAGAGAGGGAGAGAGGGGGGAGAGAGGGGGTGAGGGGGAAAAGGGGGAGAAAGAGAGAGAGAGAGAGAGTCTTGCATTAAAACATGCAGCACGTGGAATTTTTATATGATAATCTTTGAAAACTTTGATTTTTCACTGTAAACGAGCATTGTCTCGTCGGTTATCGATATGATAACGAATGATCTGATACTATCGCTGCGTTATATTACGTGGTATCAATGTGGCGTAAAAATATTCAGAGAAACAAAAAGAAAGCTAGATATTATAAGTATCATTATTTTTCACTATTAATTAAATTATATTATATTATATTTCATATCAAATAGATGCAGAGTGAAAAAGTAAGACAAATTGTAAAACAGCTTTAAAGTGCATTACAATTTTTCCGTCAATCTTCAATATCATGTTTCACACATCAATATAAACCCGTTCCTTCGATGCAAAAATATGAAAGAAATATCTCGTAGATCTGTACGACGAAGCTCTTTCAGCGCACGTACCTACCCTCGCTCGTTCGTATTCCTGTGCCTGGAATGATCCATCTCGGCCACGTGATCGCCGCTTCGACAAAAATAATGAACGCATTCCTCAACCAGGTAGAGCACGAGGAAGCCGCAGGAAAACACGAGTTCGGCGTAATCCGGCAGACCCTCGCGCACTTCCGGCAATACGTGCAGCGTCGAGGTGGCCAACAGGACACCGGCGCCAAAGCACAAGGCACAGGAGAGCAGCAATTTGCGCTGTAGACGCTGAGCGCTCGAGATGAAGCAGGCGGGCGCGATGCCGACGAAGAAGCTACCGGCGCCGATCAGCACCATCGACGCCAGCTTCGCTTGTACCGCGTTACCGAACATCGTCGTCGAGTAATCGTATTCTTTTTCGCTGCGTCGCGATCTCGAAGATCTCGACGCTACCGAAATTCACTCCGAGATTGGTCCCGTTCGTGAGAGTAACGCGACAATTTAACGTACAGGATTCTTTCTCGCCTACCATCGAATGTCGGATGATTTCACCGATCTCGGTCTTTCTTTTTCTTTTTTGAGGAAAAACACTTTGCGAGAAAGTCAACGACGCTGTGCGCGTCACAGCGTCGCAACGGTACAGATAGGCACGCGACGTGCGACGTGCGACGTGCGACGTGCGACGTGCGACGTCTCAAAAGGCGCGACCCTAATCTGACGATGATGATAACACTGGGTCTGTTCTTTATAGCTGAACTGGCTGCACTAATTCAGAGTTTATCTTTTTCTCTCCACATTGGAAGGAGAAAGATAAGCTCTGAACTAGTGCAGCCAGTTCAGCTATAAAGAACAAGACCTACTGATAGAACTCTACAGTTACAGTAACACTTTTGATATACTGTCAGCCGTTGTCCATCTACTGGTGAACATTGGAGGAGATTGACTAAATGATTTTTATCATTAGTCTTTCTTGACTCATGACGCGCGTTGTTGACCTGATTTTGGATTTAATTTATCTCCAGACGACGCAAAGAGCACAGCCACGCACAGCCTATTATCTTTGAGGCAATCTGTGGATGTAAATTTCAGACGTTCAGCGACCTTGTAAAGTCCCGATAATGCTGAATCTCTATATCTCGTATCAAATTGTTGATCAAATCAAATATCCGCTCTTCATGCAAGCATAATAACGATAGATTGATGCGAAAGTTAAAAACAGGAATCGATAACAAAACGATCGAGTATTGGCGATAATTCTCGCGCGTGAGAAGATAAGCGATACCGTTGAAAAAATTTGACCGGAAAGCTGACGGAACTTGAGATGCAATTTTAATGAACTCGATTGCGATAAACAGCAATTATATATATACAGCGATTATATGCATCTTATTTGAAAGTGCAAAGTTTTTGATATTATTATTTTAATACGCACAAACTACTATCTCTCATATTCACTGACCCAATTATATTTGAAATGAATCTTTATCTCTCACCTGCTTGCATGCCACTTAATTGTGTATATTAAATGTCGCGTTAGCAAGTATATGATGCGTTCCTGTCTTTTTTAAACTTTTCAACATAGGTCATAAGGATCACATATCTGACCTTTTCAGCTACTTCCTGTACATATTTAAAATTTTTTTTTTTTTTTTTCAACTTTCTCCTTTCGTTTTCCTTCCTGTTCCCTCCAACGTATGTAACGGACATGCTCGTTTCAGATTTCAGATCGAGAATGAACAGAAAGCAGAAAGTATGCAGATATGTATATAGAAGGGAAAACCTGTCGCGATCTCTCGCTCCCTCATAACTTCGATGGGTTGCGTTCGAAAATTCGTCTCTACTCGTCGTGTAGAGCGTTTGATTGACCAATCAGAATAAATTTTGTCCTATTCAACTACGTCAAATCCAACGATAATATTCTATCTAGTGTATTACAATAGTCAACGGTACAGAATATCTATGGTTCTAACCAATCTAACCAATTTTTACGAATGTAAATGGCAAAGAGGTTATATTTATCACCCATTGTCTACAGTGTCTACACGTATTATTAAGGAGTGTTACAATATATGTATAGAAACCTTTTGGATAAATATTTCATAAAATTGAAAAGATCGGCAAAACCTTGCTGATAAAAATGCTGCAGCCATAAAAGAAGAAAATAAAGTTGTCTGCTAAAGTAGCTGAGATATCACGGCTAAAGAGTGAGATTATGGCGCGATATACGAATTAAGAATGTCGTCGAGGACGAGGAGTGGCACGAAACAGCGTTCGTCCAGCCGCGAACGTACGCGTGAAAATGCAAGCAAGTATGAGAGGAAAAGGCGTTACGACGATTACGAGATTGACGAGCACAGCTCGTCAAAGTCCAGGTCGCGGAGCGATCGGGAGACGCGCAAATCTCCCTCCTCGTCCTCGACGAGTCGTCACGAAGAGAGCCACCAAGACCTCTACTTTAGTAATTATAAACACGAATTGAATAAGATCTTCACAACAAATTCGAATCTCATTCACGATATCGTGGATTTTTGGAAATTCGTCGAGAAATACGAGTCTGTCAAGAAACAATTGGGCAATAGCGACGAATCCGCAGCCGATTCCGCTTTAAATTCCATCGGAGTGCCGGAAAGATATCACAAGTCTCATTGTTTAAATTTCAAGCTCAATCTGTCATATGGAGAATTATTTGCGCGAATCCCCGAAGTGAAACAACTGACGAAATCGCGCCTGCTAAAATTCGGGGATGTAATAGTCTTGTACTTAGACTTTAAGCAAAAGGAAAAATTCAGCAAATTAAAGAAACTCAGAGACACACAAGCTAATTTACCAGTTGCACAATATAAAGATGAAATTATCGAGACGGTAAAAAAGGAGAAAGTGGTCATTATAGCGGGAGACACGGGTTGTGGAAAATCTACTCAAGTACCTCAATACTTGTATGAAGCTGATTTTCGAAAAATAGGTATAATCCTAAAGTTAATTGTCAATTTAAATATTTCTTATATTTAAATAATTGTATATGTATATTTAATATGATATGATCTAATTATTTTTCTTTCATAATTTGTATTACAGCGTGTACACAGCCCCGAAGAATAGCATGTATCTCACTAGCAAAACGAGTCGCTTTTGAGACATTGAGCGAGAATCTGAGCAAAGTTGGATATCAGATACGTTTTGAAAAACAAAGAAACCAAGAGACAAACATTACATTCATAACCGAAGGTTTATTGTTACGACAAGTGAATATTTCAATATTTGCAAATTACTCTAAAGACACTCTCAAAAAAAGATTTTGCATATATTATAATGTATTTTACAGATGTCGGGTGAATCGACATTATCAGCATACGATGTGGTAGTCTTAGATGAAGTGCACGAGCGTCACCTGCATGGAGATTTCTTATTGGGTATTATGAAATGCATTATTTATCAAAAACCCGATTTGAAATTGGTATTAATGTCTGCTACTATTAATATAGAGCTCTTTAGTAATTATTTTGCAAAGGAAGATGTTAAAATAATAGAAGTAAGAGTTTTTAAAATACTTTCAAACACTGATCGCATGTACATATATGTGATACTGACAATGAGATTTTTCATTTTTATTTAGGTTCCTGGAAGATTATATCCTATTCAATTGTTCTACCGTCCTGTAACTGTAGAAGATCTCAGATACAAAAATGACCGTTTTAATCCAAGTCCATATGTGCAAATAATGCAAATAATTGATCAAAAATATCCAGGTGAGAGAGAAATCTATATTTTAATTACAGTAACAAACTCTTCAGATATGAGTTGCAGAAATAATCATATCATAATTATAATAAAGATTAATTAAAAATTAAGATTATTTGCTATTTACTATATTTTAATTAAAATTACAATTACTTTGTTATAATTACAATGGTAGAAATATTTCAGCCAATGAGAAGGGTGACTTATTAATATTCTTGAGTGGAATAAGTGAAATTACTGCAGTCGTAGATGCTGCCAAGGAATATAGTACAAAGAAGAATAATTGGATAGTTTTACCGCTTCATAGTACCCTTTCCATCATTGAACAAGACAAGGTATATTTCTCTCGCATGATACTATTTTTGTAAATTATTTTTGTTTCATCATAAAAGAATATCAAAGAATAATTTCGCTTTCTCTAGGTATTTGACTATGCACCTGAAGGTGTTAAAAAGTGCATTGTCGCAACTAATATCGCAGAAACTTCCATTACCATTGATGGAATCAGATTTGTCGCCGATAGTGGAAAAGTGAAGGAAATGAGTTACGACCCGTCATGTAAAATGCAAAGACTGAAAGAATTCTGGATAAGCAAAGCCAGTGCGGAACAGAGGAAGGGAAGATCAGGCAGAACTGGACCTGGAGTTTGTTACAGGTAAATAATTGGTGACTTTTCCGATGAATGATATATTATCATTATTTACGAGATTGAGAATAAACGCGACATTGTTCTTTTACAGAATTTATTCAGAGGAAGAATATAAGACATTGGAAAGATATTCGACACCAGAATTACAACGTGTACCCTTAGATTCTTCGTTGTTACAAATGATAGCAATGGGACTACCTGATGCTCGAAAGTTTCCATTCATAGAGCCACCGCCAGCCGACAGTATAGAGAACGCTATATTATCATTAAAAGATCACGTTAGTATTTTAGATCTTGCATTTTTGTTTTTCTGCTTTTTTTGAAAAAAAAAAAAAAAAAAAATGCTAAATATTAAATTAACAATATTTTCACCAGGGTGCACTCACAGATAATGAAAAAATCACGTGTATTGGTAAAACCTTGGCACGGCTGCCCGTTGATATTACAATAGGAAAGATGTTAATAATGGGATCCATTTTCCATCAAGTGGAACCCGTATTATCACTGGCCGCTGCTCTAAGTATACAAACACCATTCACCAATAGAGCGTACAGAGATGTAGAATGCGAGGTAATTAATGTTAATAAGTGAAACTGTGCTGTGAAACAAACATTTAATTTTGCAATGAAATAATATCTATAATATTAAAGACATCTAGAAAAAGATTAGAATCTGATCACGGTGATCCCATAACTTTATTGAACGCATTTAAAGAATGGCTAGAAGTGAAGCAAGAAAATTCTCAAGAATATAGAGGCAGTGGTAACAGTAGCAGAAAGTGGTGCCGAAGACGAGGTTTAGAGGAGCAACGATTCTACGAAATGACAAAATTAAGGACTCAATTTAAAGAATTACTTCAAGTTAGTCATACATTTCGTGCGTTTTTCTCACAGATATACTTTTAATATCATTATATATCTAATATTATATATTTTGTTTATATGGCGGATACATTGTATAGGATTGCAAATTACTCAAAAGTCTCCCAGAACCAAACTCTTCCATGACAAGCGCGGAACGTGCGATAAGACATGGTGAATTAAGACTTTTAAAGTCTCTCAAAAAAACTTACAAGCAAAGTGAACCTAAAAGACGTAAACAATTAAAAGTACAGACATTTGATATACAATTGGAAGATAATGACGATGACGACGGAGAGCTCGACATAAAAGATATAGAATTTCGAATGAGAAATGATTCAAATCAAGTGCAGAATCTTTTGACAGCGTCTTCCGCATGTAGCTATAAAAATTTGACAATGTTGAAGCTGATATTATGCAGTGGTTTATATCCACAGTTTGCTTGTGCTGATGAGTATAATTATTGCAAGGTATAAAAATTATGCATTCTATTATTTATATATTCATTTATAATTTATATTATGTATATATGATGATATGTAAAAATATTCCCCAAATTATTATTCAGTCTATGAGTGAGCAATTATTTCATACAAAAGCAAAACCATATGTTGCATTGCACCCAATGAGCTTTTTTGGAAATCATCAGCAACTTTTGCAAATTGAAGAGGCGGATGTAATATCGATACCAGGATTTAAAAGTAAAAATCCTGTTAGCCCTAAACATCAGATACTGGCATATCAGTAAGTTTTTATTTAGATTTACTTTGTAATATAATTTGTTAAATAAATTTAATGCGTTGTAAATAAATAAATGCGTGATAGATCCCTCTTGGAAACTACAAAACCGTATCTGGTAAATACTTTAAGAATGCCCGCCGCACAAACATTATTGCTATTTGCACGTGAAATAGACACAAATAGTATATTCTCTTTGTAAGTAACATATTATGCCTACACATGTACTAATATTTTATATAAATTTGTGTATTTTTATATTTCTTAATAAAAAAAGAGAAATAATATTAGTCAAACACAATGTAAGACGGATTTTACATTTTGCAGAATAGCATGTGATTCATGGCTCATGTTAGAATTTCCTGTTCCTGATAGTGGTCAGACTTTATTAATAAGAGCAACCAAATTGAGAAATAAATGGGATTTCTTATTAAACCGGCGATTGCAAGGTACAAGGTGTATTTCTTTTGACATGATTGAATTTTTTTTTTTTTTTTTTTTCCCCCTTTCCCTTCCTTTATCTAATATTAATATTTATGGTAAGATTAATATAAATGTCTTATTTTTCAGAATCTGATGATACAAACGATGAAACAAAAGATTTTAGTAAAATTGAGCAAAGTCTTACTCAAGAACTGATTGAATATATGCACACTACAGTACCATATACGATAAAACGGTTGCTACCGGCCGATTTGAAAATGATATACGTTGGCAGTGGCAATAATGATACATGCATAGAACCTAATCCTTTTCAAGCCGATTTTAGGAGTATATCAAATATAACTAAAGGCGGAGTTCATGTAACAGACAGTATCACATATAATTGGTGAGTGCAACAGAATATTGGATTAATTAATATAGAGATTTATTCATCTTTTATTATTAAATTGCAGCATAAAGGAAACTGACTGGAGCGAACAACTAATTGCAGAAATGCGCGACACTGAATGGCATTGTCAAAATTGTGATTTTCAAGCAGTCCTATCGAATATGGAAAAACTTCAACATCAAAACTATTGTACAATGGCACATGCAACCAATATCGACAAAGAAAGTGAAAATATAACGCGTAAACCTAATAGTCAAGCATACGAATGTCCTGATTGTTCGCAGATGTTATATCTCACACCTATCGAGATATTGAAGCATAAGAAACTACATATTAAAGCAAGCTAAAATATCTGTAGCATTGAATTGTATATAAATAGAAAACATATTTATGTTAAAAAATAATAGTTTACATACATATATATATAGAAGACAGTTTTTGTTTATATAAATAAATATACCAACATTTCATTGAAGGATATTCTTCACAGAATTCTAAATACGTAACACATACACATATAAGGGTATATATATTGTTTTATAGCATACATAAACTTAAATATTTCTTTTAAAAAGTAAAGTTAATATATTTTAATAGTAGAATTTTTTTTGCAAGCAAAGTTTTTGCCTACAAAGTTTTATTCTTTATGTACAAAAACTTTAACAAATATAGTATTTACAATAACAATAATAAAAAAATGTAAAAACGTTCTTAATAAAAAAATTAAGTGTACACACATGGAACGTAATGTATCAAGTCCATGGCAAAAAATTTGAAAACAATAAGCATCCTATAATTGTGTATCCTATAAAATAGGATAGTACAAATTTATCTTGCAATGTATATTGTTGTTGTGATAAGAAAAATACCTTCCAGTTCGAACTAATGTTCTCTTCATTTTCATATCGTAAATCATTATGATCAATATACTTGTGAGACATAATTAAAGCGCAATACCAATATATCAAAGGACTTGCAGAAGCTAATAAACGTGTGCTGACTTGAATATGTGTGAAGAATAGGCAAACCATGGTTAGAAACAATCCATGTACTACAAAGACGAACATACTTAATGGGTATTTCTTTATTTTGGTAGTACTTCCGTTTTTTCTTTTACTATCGAAAAGTCCTAACAAGTACAATTCATCCTTATATTCGCAAGCAAATTCTTTTATGCATTGCAACATAATAAACAATATCGGGCAAGCTAAAATAAAATTTGGTATTTGTTTAAATTGATAATATCTTAAGAATCCAACATTCCAATATGTCTTTTGTATATATGAATATGCTAGAGGTACTGTAGCGTTACACCATATTGAACTTGTCATGCCTGGTAATATTAAATTATTTTTTGTAGCATACTGTAAAACGTGAACTGGCAGTAACGATTTGTCAGGTGTAGAAATACAAAATTTAGTATAGTTGTATATTTGTAAAAGAAAAAACGGAGACAGCGATATAATTATTGTGCTCAAGATAGTGAAACAATTTTTTAATATGATTAGTTTAAAAATATACGGTATGTTGCGTTTTCGTTTATGTTTCTCAACTTCTTTCGACACAGAATTACACAAATTCTTAAGTCCGAAATATATAGGGAAGCCTATATTGACGATACCATTCGATCTCGTTAAAGTCGACAATGCCAATGGAAAATAAATGGTAGACTTGGTATATTTCATACTGCCAAGCATGGTGTAAAATGTTAAATATGCAAACATGGATTCTGAATATATGGCTGAGAAAAATATGCTGGCTGGATTTATACAATAAAGTATTGCTGCTTTGTAAGCAGTTACAGTATCCTGAAATATGTGTACGGTGAGATCGTAAAGAATGAGAGCTGATTTTACGAAACACACGAAATTGATAAGCGTTGCAGCAACAATCATGACACTTTGACTGTTTAACGCGGGGAATATCTTTGTCAAAGCAATGGCAACGATGCGAATCAGAGCTGGATACAATGGATAAAAGGCAATAGTATTCTCGTACGTATACCCGTATTTCGCAATATGTAAAAAATATTCTCCGTCCCAACGTGTAAGACCGTTGAATAAAAAATAAATTATTTTATCCCACAGGGATCCCACTTTCTCTGTGGAATTCAGAGGCCTTTTAAACGCATCCGCACAATGGTCGGGAATTGATGCATTGAAAATTGTTTGCAATATTAATATTGTGATTCTACTGACGATTGCGAACCAAAGAATTTTCTTTCTTGGCGAGTACATTTTGCGTAATTTCGTATATGTTGTCTATCTTAATTTCACACAACGTAAATGAAATATTTATATCTACTCAGTCGTAACAGCAAATTATGAAATAGACTTGTAATCATCTCGCTCGTGATCTAATTATATTCATCGGTGATTCACACACATTTTTCGTTTCCCGTGTATATTCTTATCGTGCAGAAAGAGGAAGTGGTCGAATCGAGCCGCTCGTACAGACGATATCCTCCGAGTATAAACTTGCTACAGATCTGTTAGTGACTGGACAGTACACTGAAACAAATAATTTGTACGTGACACGATTACACATATATATTATTGTAGAAGACGCAACATGTATTTTATATTTAATTTATTCATTATCGCAATTAATTATTCATTAATTGCTGCACAGACTATAATACAACAGTCCTCTACGCCAGATCCGAACAGGTGTACGTTTTTATATATATTTCGTATTATAAATCGTAGAAAAATCTAATAGTTTTATAATGTCTCATGTGTTTTTATTTGCATTAAGTTGATGAGATATTAAAATATGTTTCTATACCTATCATCAGATTTCAAAAAGCCAGATAAAAAATCAGTTGATAAAACATTCGGTGAAGACTTAACAGATTGGTTATTTACTGGATGTTGGGGAGAAAATAATCATCAACCGAATAGATGCTCCCAGTATCGCAATGGAACCGAATATCCCAATTACGATGGATGGTACAATAACGTTGGAAGACCAGAGTTAGGTGCAGTTGACACTCCATTGCTAAGAAGACTGCCAGCCGCTTATGAAGATGGAGTATACAAGCCTTCAGGTTCTAGTAGACCAGAACCATTAGAGATAAGTGAGAAGCTGTTGAGCGGAAAAATTGGATCGAAGTCAAGAACGGGGAGAAACGCTTTACTTGTATTTTTCGGTACGCGAAAATGATTTATATCGCACAGAACTGCTATTAAGATTATATCATGTACTTGCATATTTGCAAATTTATATGGAAATTATAAGAATATCATATATCTACAATCTCAAATATGAAATGTGATTTGAAAAAAAAATTTTTTAACAAATATTTGAGTCAAGTATATAGAGATTAAATATTTATCAAATATATTTGTGGTAAAAAAACATAAGAGATATTTATGATGATGCTCAGCAATATAATATACAATATACAATATACAATATGAAAAAAAAAAAAAAAATGTTTAGGTCAGCAAGTGGTGGAGGAAATTTTAGATGCTCAAAGAGCGGCGTGTCCACCCGAATATATCAACATAAAGATTCCGGAAAACCATCGATACAGAACTAAACCAGGACACACGGAAATGCCAGTTTTACGCACGCGATACGATCATCGCACCGGTCATTCGCCAAACAATCCTCGTCAACAGGTAACATTTAGTAATGTTCGCCCTAATGTAGTGTTATTCTCATTTTAACGAACGATATTATTATTTTATTACCAAGTATCAATATGTTGCAGCTAAATGAGATCACGCCATTCTTAGATGGTGGATTGATTTACGGTACATCTAAAGCATGGTCCGACGTTTTAAGGACATATAACAGTGGAATATTGCAGGCGGATGGTCAACTCGCATCATCGTACTTCGGTTTATATCCCGATTATAATACCGTCCGATTACCGATGGCCAATCCACCGCCGCCTATTCATCATCATCAATACGTTTCACGGCACTATAGCGAGAGCGTTACCAGATATTTCAGTGAGTAGTAAAACTTTATTCGCGCAAATACAAAATATTAGAATAAACGAGTATTAGAATTTTGTGCCGCAGACGCGTTTAGCGGCGTCCGCTATATGATGATCCTTTGGGGTACATTCGTACTCAATCTTCTCCGAATAAGGCATCGGAACGTCGATACCGGCGCACCGTACTGCGGGTGCGTCGAGCTGAAAGAATACTGGATTCTCCATCACTGTCGCAACAATCTCGGATCCTACTCCGCATCTCGGCCAACCCAGCTCGACAGTCATCAATCGGTGTGTCTTGCCGATCGATTTGAACACGGTGTCCCAATCCAGGGGTCTGAGCGAGCGCAGATTGACAACTTCCGCCTCGATCCCTTGTCCGGCTAATATGTCGGCCGCTTGAAGCGTATACATGTACGCCTGGCCGTGCGTCACCAGAGTGATATGTTTGCCAAGTTTCTCCACCTTGGCTTTGCCAAAAGGTATCTGATAGTCCTTGTCCATAGCTTGATCGGACATGGGAAACTCGAGGTTGTAAAGTAACTCGCTCTCCAGCATGATGACAGGATCGGGATCGCGCACGGCTGCCTTGAGGCAACCCCTGTAATCCTCGCAGGTTGACGGCGACACAACCTTCAAGCCGGGCGCGCTCATGTACCACGCGGCAAAGCACTGAGAATGCTGCGCGGCCAAGCCCTTGGCGTTACCGTTCGGACCGCGAAAGAGAACGGAGACGGGATATCTGCCAGCAGACATGTAGAGATTCTTGGCGGCACCGTTGATGATACGGTCAAAGGCTTGCATAGCGAAATTGAAGGTCATGAACTCGCATATCGGTTTCAAGCCTAGGAGCGCCGCGCCGATCGCTATACCACAGAATCCGGCCTCTGTGATCGGCGTATCGATCATCCGCTTGTCGCCGTACTTCTTCCAGAGACCGCGCGTAATCTTGTAAGCGCCGTCGAACTCGGCAACCTCCTCACCGATAATGAATACCTTCTCATCTCGAGCCAACTCCTCGTCGAGAGCCATATTCAGCGCGTCTCGTACAGTCATTTTCGTGACGGATCTGCGGGGCGTTTTAACGATACAATGATGCGTCGCTCGCAGCATCAATTTATCTCTCAACGGACGAAGAAAATACATCTCGAACGCGAATAAATATTTCGACTCAGTATAATATCTGGCTATTAATACGCAATTTGATACGTATGTTTTAGAGTTGGGAAATCCGCGAGGGAATGAAAATCCGTTTCTGCTGACTTTTGGTATAATATGGTTTAGATGGCACAATTTCGTAGCGTTTCATATTAAACGTCACAATCCAAATTGGTCGAGCGACAAGATTTACAACGAGGCTCGTAAATGGGTGATAGCGACTCAGCAGCACATTGTCGTTAACGAATGGTTGCCTTCGTGGTTGGGAAACAGACTTCCTGCATATAAGGGTAAATAGAAATAGTGCTAGTCAACATATGACAGCGTTGATAAACCCGATAAATGTTCAATGCGAATGTTTGTTTACTTGTAATTTGCATATAATCCTAATTGATAATTTATTCGTTATTTAAAGGTTACAACCCCAATATTGATCCACAGATAGAGCAATTTTTCCAATCGGCCGCTTTTCGTTTCGGACACACTTTGGTTCCACCAGGTAAAAAACGTATCCGATTTTTTATTAATATTAGACAGATACGTACCGTTTCCCCAATGCCTTTATATTAATGACAAGCGAAACCAGTTAAATGAGCAATATCGATTTTCATAGCACAGCTTATCTTTTATTTAATTATAAGGTGATACAAAGAAGAATCGATTTACACTTGTTGATTTGATGAAAGATCATAAACGTGTGTATGTGCGCGCGCGCGCGCGTGTGTGTGTGTGTGTGTGTGTAATGTTGTCATAAATTGTAGAATTGTATAGATGCACAGTAATAATATTAATGATAATCACAATGTCAGGTGTATACTTGCGTAACTATGGGAGGAATAATTGTTCCTTGGAACCACATCCAATTAGAACGTGCAATAATTATTGGATGTCACAGGTATTTTGACAATTATATATATACATGTTTGAAGTTTCGACAAAACGCGCACGTAATAAAGTACGTAAACGATTGTTTAGAATTCTCTCTATGCAAATTTAACGAGAATAAAGGATGTCATTGATGTGGAGAAATTATTAATGGGAATGGCTATTCAATTATGCGAAGAGGAGGATCACAAGATCGTTGAAGATTTGCGAGGTAGTTTATTCGGGCCATTGGAATTCTCAAGAAGAGACTTAATGGCACTTAATATTCAGAGGGGACGTGACCACGGAGTACCCGATTATAACAGCGCTCGTCGTGCGTACGGTCTACCAGAGATTAAAAATGTATCCCATTTTAATCGCGTAGATCAAGCGGTATGTTGTATAAAAATTGTTCATTCATGTATTTAATCACAGCGTTGCAAAATTTAAGACATTTTATTTATTATTATTCAAAAAATTTTTTTATTTAAGATTCGAGATGAATTTCTCAGACTGTACAATAACTCGTTCGATGACGTGGATATCTGGGTGGGTGGGATACTAGAAACTGGCGATGGACCCGGGGAGCTATTTCAAAGTATCATCAGTGATCAATTTCAACGAATACGCGACGGTGATAGGTTTTGGTACCAGAATTTCGACAATAAGTATGTAATTATATCGCTATTGCATATTTCATTATATCTTCTGTACAATTGATTCGGTAAACTTTTGATACAATTTTGTTTCTAGACTTTTTACTTATGAGGAAATTCGAAGATTAGAACAATTATCATTTTATGATATATTGATGTGTGTCACTAAGATGGACTGGAACGATATTCCAAGGAATCCTTTTAGAGTTTCTATAGCAGGTAAAGGAAAAACTACATGCGGAAATGTAAATTTGCTTAATAGTAGCTAATGATACCACTAAATACATTTGTATCTTCTTTCAGTGGATGATATACATCCCAGTTGTATTAATAATAAAATTGTTAAAGAAGGCAATTGCACAACTGGTTCTTGTTTTCACGCTGATCAAATAAATAAATATACAATCGAAAATTGCACAGAACCTGGGACTTATGATTTTTTTTCCAATAGCAGCATATCCTTCATTCTTACGTTTTTAGGTGTATCAACATTTTTCTGCGGTAAAAATTTTTTACTATCATTGAAACATTATGCAACAACATGGGCATTATACTATCTATCTAACGTGTTAATTTTGATACAGGTATCATTACATTAATAGTTTTTAAGATACAATTTAAGGATAAGGGACCAATGCAAGAAATTGTTAAAAAAGTAGACCATAGTGATAATATAGACATTATACATACTGGTAAGACTTTTCAGATATATGCATGTCTTTATGTCTTTATATATTGCATACATGTAGTATAACAAAAATATATTCCTTTATTAATAGCTAGCGAATGGCAAGAACCAAAAGCTGCACTTAGACGTGTAATATTAATGCCAAACATCAGAAAAAAGCAACTGGAAGTGAAAAATCAATTGGGACATTTGATA